TGATATAGATACTTTAAAATGACATGGTATAGACACTCGTTGACGAACGTTAACCGACCGCTAACGAAACTCACTTGTCCCGCACTGCCTTGGGTCTCATTTCTCGGGCCCTGACAGCAGCCGTAGCGTCTAGTAGTCTTAGGCAGATGGGGTCCGAGAAATGAGACCCAAGGCAGAGCGGGACAGGTGTGTTCCGTTAGCGGTCGGTGAACGTCCATCAACGAGTGCTAATAGCTCCCAACCCAAACCAGCAAGACCACGAGCTCGTGGATCAAGGGTTAGAGCGTTAGACGAGGTCACGACTTCGAGCCTCGGGGCTGGGTATGACTGACTGACGACAACTAATAGGCCAGAAATTGCCATTCCAGTCTCCCTTGTCTTTGCCTGAAATACTATCTACCTAAGAACAATGCGCATAATACTAAAAGAGCAACATTAGTGGCGGCACGGAGAAAAGTGACTCGTCATGCCAAACAATCAAACGCATTTGACCGACCTTGACATACTATACGATCAAATGTGTCTTCGTTCCAATCCGCGATAAGTTGCACACATACATGGGTAGAAAATGAGGGCAGATGGCTTACTGTGGAATACAAGGGCTTGGTTATTTTTCCATTTGAAAAGGCTGGGCGGACGAGACTGAAAGTCGTGTACAAAAGCAAGCACACGAAGAATGACACGAAATGTCACTAAGTTGACCCTGTTTTAACTCCCAAAACTGCTTATTGTGGTACAGTTTTTTGCGTGAAGCGAGTGCGTTTGTGACCCAAGGAAAGCCAACTACAGACTTGAAAACAGTGACCTTACCAACAGAACTATTCACGAACTGTTTTTATTTTACCTTATGCAGAATAGGCAAACATAAGAACAATAAAAATCGTATAATTCATTAATTGGGGTCAGTATATAGGTTCGTTGCTACACTTGCGCAGAACTTTACCCAGCCTTCAGAAACAAACATTTGGGCAGTTCAGTCCACAAAAATACTGTTAAATGCGAATAGAAGACGTCTTCACTGGCGGTTCTTCGGATTCTCATGTTACAAAGAAATGACGATACGTGTGTATTGCCTGGATCGACAAGTTACCCTAAGGCTGTAAGGGGAGCATGTGTGTGGTAGCAGAGCCAAATAGCCCACAACTGGTGAACAAACGGGGTAAATTTATGTAGGAAACCCAAACAGGTGTGCTGGCCGTGGCCTACAGACGAGCGCGACCCAACAGTGTTGACAGTTAGTTGCCTCCTAAACAAAAAGGACAGTGCAAACGAAGGAGCGTGGGGCGAAAGACCACACAAGGGGTTATTTTGCAAAAAAGAAAAACGAGTCTTTATGCCATAAAAGGTGTCACGAACTGAGCCAAGGTACAGTGCATTCTAAAAAAAACAAATCTGAAAATTAGATGCGCGACCAGAGGGACCAATTCGGGAGCGTGAACTGTTTTTTTTTTTGTTTGACAATGGTCGCCAGGAGGCGTTTAAAAGGCATATACAACAAGCAAGTGAAGTCAACCATCGTTACCACGCCTCTCCCTCCCCAAACGAACGCAACAGAAATATAACTAAAGTTAGTAAAACAATCAAAACAACTAATACTTTGTTAAAGGGGAACCGACGAAGACAAGGGAGCTCGGAATGGCTATTGCTGGCTTATTAGCCGTCATCAGCCAGTCATACCCAATCCCAAGTGTATGTCACCTGAGATTCGAACTCCCGACCCGTGGTCACTGAGTGCAACATTCTACAATAAAAACAACGGGCTCGTGGTGCAACGGTAAGTATTGCCATTTCGGTCTTCCTTTTCTTTGTCGGTTTCACCTTAACAACGTATATACATATGTCGCTTTGTAACTGTCTATGACGGTTCTAAAGTGAGCACCAGGGCACAATGGAGCATACTGTTCTTTAACCAGATCGGTGAGCCCCCTACTGTCAAATAATATTTCGTACAGAGCCCGCCCGAAGATGAGAGCACCGTGGGACTCGGAAGAAAGAACCACCGAGATGAACGATTTGGCTGAAGAACAAGAAGCACGGCAGTGGATGGAGCCAGTTCGGACGACCCTGTGTTGCTGGCGACAGGTATAACCACGCGAAAACTCTGCACTCGGTAGTCAACACGGCTACAAGTCCAATAAGTGAGTAGGCAGTCAATAGCAGCCCTATACTGGTTGAAATATTCCCACCGCCTGTGCAAAGTTCGGCTAGACTGTCGATGAAAACAACAATGAGGAATTAGGCGATCCATATATAAGATTCCAGTATAGGATGGGGCACAGACTGCACAGACAATGAAGCACCTAAGAACTTTTGTTCGGATAAATTGTACTACAGTCTGAATGAAATTATGAAACCTACAGTGAAAGTCATCGGTTACAAGCCACGTCGAAAACGACCTTATTTCATTTCAGTCGGTCGGACATCCACTCTAGCAGAGTCGAGTCATTTAACACGTCTTCAGCTGGTCACCTTGACACTCTCGTCAGCTAGGATCAGATTCGGCTAGCAAAAGAGAGCTCAGTTGAGGAGTTGAGCTCCTGACCAACCGTTTGATTGTAACATCAGGTAAACCAGAGTCGTCAATTACATGGGTGCGGGATGCATTTCTCAGCGCCAGGCACCTTAACGCTGCGCGAGTCATGAGCTGCTAAATACACCTTGAGGAGAGTTAGGTAAGGTCCCCAGTACACTACACCGGCGCCGGCACTTTTCGGCTACGAGGTGCCTGCGCCAGAGGCATGTGGTGCGCATTTATTGCTCCTTCCGGGGAAGTCAGTTTGCATACCTATCATACGGCCTGTTGGAAGGGGTCCGGGTGCATCGTTGCCGCAGACGCCGTAGTGCGAGCCAAGTCGTAAAGAGGGAACTAACTTTTTTTATAGATTTATGGCTTTGGTATAGGAGTGGTTTCAGAGTCCCCAATTCGGTCGTTTGGTGGAAATTCAGCCAGCGAAACAGAAAGAACTTACTGAGTTGTAAGTCGTACTCACTATGTCACAGTGGTCACCAGATTTTGACATTTTATAGGATTGATGGGTGGTTGTCAGACGTCAAGCCCCGCATGTTTACCATCCGCAATCAGTGGACTAGCCGGGTACCAAGAAGTCGGAAGTTTTTGGACCACTTAGGAATAAAGGGAAAATGGCACGCGAAAATTTAACCAGTTTCTCGGCCGCCCTTTTTGGCCTAGGTATACTAAGAAAGGCTGTGTTTAAAAAGATGTTTGCAGCTTTTTAAACCACAGCATTTAAGAATAGGGCTCAAGCTGATAGTGGGGTATAGTAGCCCAGTCACGAAGCCTACCGACAGGGAGTTAAAAAAGCAGACCCGGCTGACAGACTGTCTTGTGCAAAGAATCTCAGGGATGAACTTTAATGAAAACTTTTCCGATACCTGGGTTCCAGTTATTTCCATGTGTAGGTGAGCCAGTCCGTTGACAATGGAGGAGGCCATACGAATCAGCGCATACGCGTTGAGTGCATGACTCTGCAGAAAGTCGTATAGGGAGCCTAAGCGGTGGTACTCCGTTATAAGCCAGAGCTCAGTGGAGAGACCGTTGTCCTTGTTGTCCGCTGCGATGAAGCCCAAAATGTTGGCATGGCGTAGCATCACCGTCTGATAGATTTGAATCTCCCTGATCAAATAGAAGGGAAACCGATGATATTTTAGGGCTGAGCAAAGCAAAGTCGCGTAGACAACTGAAACAGGCAATCACAGCGCGTATTCTGACGCAGAAAACCTACTCTTAGAGCTAGCTGGTACCTAAATGAAACTCTATTCAAGGGACTAGTCCGCGCTAGAACGTCAGTTTTTTGCCGCGACAGCATATTGACCATCATAAAGGGAGACAAAAATAGGTTCCTAGAACAGGTGACGGTTGGTGGCGTGCAGCAAACAGAATATCGAAATAGAGCCCAATACGTATTGTAAGGTTCTATCGTCCAGACTGGGAGGACGTCAAAAGCAAAAATATGACGGAATGTTAGTTTCGCTACCAACGCCTAGCACCTTGTTTTGACGCATGAGACCAATGACGGCGATCACAGTGTTTTGGGCAGAAGAGTGAATTCAGTTACTAGAAGGAGGAGGAGGAGGAGGAGGAGGAGGAGGAGGAGGAGGAGAAAATACGAACACAAACGAGATAACAAGTGAGCACACGCGGCCAAATGAATTCCCCTGACGTTTGAGGGATGGTTAAGGTAAGTATATAATTTCCATTATACGCATACGAAGAATGATGACGATGAAAGAGACGGGACAGGGGCACAGCGAGGTGTAATATCGCGCACTTGTTAAAAAACGCAAAATAAAGCAAGGTGCGAGGAATTAAACCTAAGAAATTACACTATTCGGATATTTAGCAGGTATTTGACGGCAAGCTAAAAAAAAAACCAG